AGCTTGAAAATTGTCAACCCATATGAAGGTACAGGCTGAAAGCTGCAAGGTTTGTTGGCAGGAGTCTGAAATTGCACCCCCGATCCTCTAATGATGGGTGCAATGCATTCCAGGCTACTTAAGGAAAAAATAATACACACTTTTTTTCTCTGCAAAAAAATGTGCATTTATTATTTTTCACAAAAGCTGAAATTATCCATTGGATAACAAAGTCAATACAATATAAATCTACAGATTGACATAAGTTGAAAGCTGTGTGAGCAGTGGAAAGAAAAAAAAAGAGTTTCAGTAAGATCAAAGAACACATTTGAAAAACAATATTTAATCAGTAGCCGGCCGTAGCCTAGAATATTTGTATAATTTGCTTACATAATTGCTTTAACTAAATATGACCAGTATGCATTACTTCAAAGAGCCCCCCAAGCAGAAAAAGTATAGGAATCTCTGCTGCAGACTAAAATGAGAGCCAACTTTTTTTTGATAGAAAAAATATCAAATCCTACACAATGTGAAAGAGAATTTTGTAATTTCTGTCTGCAAGGGCAGCTGCAAAGCTAATAGGTCATTTTACATGATGTAACCTGCATTCTTTGGAGCAAACACAGAGCTTCAACAAAGAGCTGTCATCTGGTTATATGGCCATTCTAATTCCATTTCTGTACGCTCAGGAAAAAAGCATGAACAAACTCTGCAATATTCCATCACACATCAGAAGACCTATTCCTGCGGTCATAGATTATCATAGAGAAGGTGGACACTGTGCACATATGTAACAGGTTTTTGCAAAATGGATTTTTATCTTCTCTAGCTGCAATTCCTAGGTGTAACATGGATCAGCATTGGGAGCTGCACAGCATTTAATAACGAACCAGTATCTTATTGTTAATAAAAAAAATCAGTTTCATTTGTAAATTCACCAGTTTTGCTTTACATAATAATGGAACTAAAAGATAAAAGCTTCTGAGAGTTAGTCATTCGTTTGTATGTAACTTAATATATGAAATACTGCATCAGCATTTCCATCAAATTATAAAAAACAAAAAAAAGGTAGAATGAGTGACAGTAAGGAAACTAGACCACATGAATCTCTGTGGGCTTGACTGACAGTTTCTTGAGTTGCTAGCTCATGAGTTCCTTGGGTTCCAAAATAGAATCTACTAAAACAGTGGTACTGAATTAAAATTCACAGGGGTCCAGTAAGGAAAATTTTTCTTCCAGCGGAGGTCCCAGTGTAATGTTGTTGCTATGACTCAGATCCTTCACATCACAGTTTCCTGTGCACATCACATTTCCTCCTCCCACCTCCATTCCCCCACTTTTATATCACACACGGACCCATCACAGATCGCCCCATCACAGACCCCCTACCCCAATCACAGAGCCCCCCCATCATCAACTGCTCCATCACAGACCCCGCCAATCAAAGTCCACCCCATCATAGACCCCTCATCACAGATTCCCTCTCAATACAGACCCCCTCATCACAGACCCCTCTCATTACAGACCCCCCTCATCACAGGCCCCCCTCATCACAGGCCCCCCCATCACAGATCACTTCCCATCAACAGTCCTTCCTGCATATTACAGATTCCTGTTCCTTTCATAACATTGCAGCACTCCCCCCCCAAAGTCCTACCTTATTCACACAAAATGGCAAGCACGGCAGGTCTGGACATAGGGCGGGCCTTTTCATGTTAAGGGGGGGGGGGGGTAAATGATTGCTTAGACTGCCCCCCACTGCCGAACAACCAATCACCCACTTCCTAACATGACAAGTCCTGTCCTATGTCCAGACCTGCCATGCTTGCCGTCTTGTGTGAATAAGGTAGGACAGTGTGGGGGAGGGGGGAAAGGGGGGAGTGCTACAATGTTATGGAAGGGACATACCTGCTGAGGACAATAGTGGCAGCAGCAGATGGGGGAGTCGTCGGTAAGGAGAGGATATTCAGGCAACTATTTGGTGAGGCTGCGGTCCGGAAAGGAATGTTTCTGGGTCCCGATCCGGACCAAGGTCCATCATTTAGTGATGCCTGTACTAACAGGTGTAACTTTTTCATATATATCAGCCCACTTCAATCCACAATCCAGTAATCTCAATAAAGAGAAAGTCTCCCCCCACAGGATGAAAAGACTGATGACAATAGAAAAAGCTTCAAGATTATGAAGTCACTTAAGAAGGTGCCATTTTAAAAGGCACCTACTTTTATCTGCGGAGGGTAAATCTAAGCATGTTCACTACTGGATCCACTGGCAGACAGTCTCCGCAAATTCATCAGCACTTGGATTTCTGGTCTTGCTACAAAAAGTTCTGTGAGCACTTTGCAAACTCAGTGATTTACAGTGCCTTCATCAGGATTTCCTGTGAGCCTCAAGTACCATCTTGAAGTGAGGCACAGCTCCTTGCCAATGCAGCAACAAATAACTATAATACTGACTTACTGCTTACGCATAATAGTGGGGGGCAGATCACTAATATAAAAGATCTCCTGTCACAGAGGTGCATGGGAGGCAGGGTCCAGAACCAGTGACCTGCCTAAAAGAACATGAAAAAAAAAGATAACCTATAGATAACAAACACAAAACAATAATAGCATACATTTCTTTCCGTTACAGTCCAGGTCCCAAACACAGTGGATTTGATAAACACAACCTGTAGCTATTCCATAAATGCCCACTGGTCACACAAATTTGCGCAGTGAAATACCTGTGCAAAAATGCACCATCAAACTGATTCCCTGGCTCAACTTGACTTACTCTAATCTTACAGTGTTACTGCTCTCCCACAGTACACAGAACATGGAAGTGCAATTATTATATATTATATAAACTGCCAAGTCAACTTATAAACTGCTAAATACCTTATCTCATCAGCAGTTACAGCAATCTTTTGACTTCTATCAGTGTCCAGAAGAGCACTGGTTAAAGCTTGTAGGAGGAGTTTTCATTCTCCCCTGATTGTCCCATGATGCTGCATAACCCCTGACCCTCTGTCTGGACAGCGCTGATTGGCCCTGTGCCTCTCCCAAGAAAAAAAAAACTCTAGTAATATACACCAAATGGAGCATGTGCAGCTTGCCCACAATCAGCAGATCTATCAGCAGATGAAATTGGGGCAGTAGAAGAAGGGGAGGATCAAACATCCTTTTTACACAATGCGGAGGATTAACCCCTTAGGTTCCGCAGTGAGTATAACAAGCATTCTTTATTACATATACAGACTGATTTTACTGTTGTGGGTTTAGTAACACTTTAACCTAGCCATAGATGACTAGGTTTTAATAGGCTGAAAAAAAAAAAAAACAGATTTCTCTATCCACACACGAGAGAATGATAGAGGAATACTCCCTGCTATGAAATTGTGTTCTGCTTCAGCCGACTGATCAAGAAAAATATTCCCATTCATCAAAGTCGATCTAACAATTTACTTGTTGAAGAGGCTCTTCCACACATGGATCAATTTCGGCTGGTCCCTGCTGATCCGGCTGCATCCATCTATTGCCAGCATTAGTACTACACAAACTAAATGATGTAAACTGGATTTTTTTGCCCTGAGCATCACAAGGTAACACAGAAAAGGGAAAAACAGCTGGTTTGAACTGAAAAGTAAACTTTTACTTTGGGCTTGTTATGTTAATTAGATAAAAAAAAATTGGGAAATTACTGGGAAACAATTGGAAATGTCAACCTTTTAATCTTCAAATAAAAGCCCTCCATTTTCTAAGACTGTTTTATCCACAAAACAGATTTGCAGATAAAAAAAAAAAAAAAAGTTATGGTCCTTTGAAGGGCAGATTATTTGTGGTGTGGAAGTGTCTACAATAATTGCACTTCAAAATCACTATCAAAATAACACAAGTCAAAGGTCAAAGAGTGACAAACAACAAAGTTTTAAGTCATTGTCAAAGTTTTATTGTCATTGTACTGGGCATTGATCCAGGATTTGATAAGCTATTTCAAATAGCAGAAGCAGGAACACGGAAATGAAAGTAAGGAAAAGGTAAATGAAAAAAAAAAAACATTAAAAAAAAAAAAAAAAAAGTGTTCTTGGTTTAAAGGTATGGCTATTTATATATTTTGAAAGATTCTGCGGCTTTGGGCGAATGGGGTTTTGAGCTTGTATAGTGTGAAGCTATGTATTGGATAATACTCTTGTCACCATATGACTTACAAGCCTTAAATAATTCTGATTTTCATTATAAAGGTATACACAGGTTCTCTTTCTTCTAGTTTTGGAGATCTCTTCATCTTACCTGTACAAGAGGTACAATGTACACATTATTCTATGTATGTATGTTTATTTGCAATCAGTTTTTGGTTGAGAAGTTATTCAATATTGTCATATAATGGAGAGTACCAAAAATGTTCACTTTTACATAAACTTTTAAGCTGCTCGTAAATATTTAGTGACTTGCTTGCAATATACTGTTTAGTTTTACATTAGCATTATCATCTAAATAGCATTAAAAACTGTGTGTCCAGCTTTTACATGATATGGTTCCCACACTAAGTGGTAGCTAATAATGAAGAATGCTTTCCTTTCACCTTAAATATGCCCCTGATTATGCAGGAAGGAAACTCAGTTTGAAGCATTCATCACCATTATGCATAACTGTTATAAATAGGAAATGCCCACCCTTTCAACTGCTGGTCCTGACATATTTTTAGATACCGTGTTTCCCCGAAAATAAGACACTGTCTTATATATTTTTGGCTCAAAAAAAAACACACTAGGTTATATTTTCGGGGTAGGTCTTATTTTTTTATTGTACAGGTGTGGACAGGGGGTGCAGAGGTGAGCTGCAGGAAGTTGTGGATGAGGGTTACTATAGAGAGGGCCAGCTGATGACAGCTGTGAGCTGCAGTCAGGTGTTGCAGAGGTGAATTGACAGGTGAGTTTCAGACAGGGTGCAGAGATGAGCCACAGACAGGGTGCAGAGATCAGCCACAGACAGGGTGCAGTGATCAGCCACAGACAGGGTGCAGAGATGAGTTTGTGGACAGGGGATGCAGAGGTGAGCTGTGGCTGCAGAGGCAAGCTGTGGCCAGGGGGTGCAGAGCTGAGCTGTGGCCGGGGGGTGCAGAGGTGGATTACAACTCAGTTCACCTCTGCACCCCCCAGCCGCAGCTCACCTATGCACCCTGTCTGCAACTCACCCTTGCACCTTTTCTGTGGCTCACCTATGCACCCTGTCTGTGGCTCACCTATGCACCCTGTCTGTGGCTCACCTATGCACCCTGTCTGTGGCTCACCTTGGCTCACCTATGCACCCTGTCTGTGGCTCACCTATGCACCCTGTCTGTGGCTCACCTGTGCACCCTGTCTGCGGCTCACCTATGCACCCTGTCTGCAACTCACCTTTGCACCCTGCCTGCGGCTCACCTATGCACCCTGTCTGCGGCTCACCTATGCACCCTGTCTGCGGCTCACCTATGCACCCTGTCTGCGGCTCACCTATGCACCCTGTCTGCGGCTCACCTATGCACCCTGTCTGTGGCTCACCTATGCACCCTGTCTGTGGCTCACCTGTCAATTTACCTCTGCAACTCCTGACTGCAGCTCACCTTTGCACATCCCCCCTCCCCCTCCAATGCCCTCATAAGGTTAGCTAGCTTTGCAAAGCACAGCTTTCAGCAGCCAGCCCCTCTCTATAGTAACTCCTGTTTCGGGTCCTATCTTCCCACTTGGTGCATCAAGCGCAATCACCGCTCCGCCTCTTCCCCACTGGCTGGCGATCACCCCTGGGGCATCAGCTTCCATGCAATAGGCTGCAGGACGAGAAACCCCACCCTGCAACACACTGTGCCCGCAGATATCTGTTCCTTCCCTGTCCCACAGTGAGTACAGAGGTAGGGAGGTTCTCAGGGTGCGGATGGTGCTGTCACTTGCAAGAGGGACTGTCACTTACAAACACAAGAGATGCACTTCTGTGTTTATAAGAGACAGTAGATATTGGTGTGCACAGGGCCAGTGCCAGAGGTGGTAGAACAGTGTTCCGCCACGTTCCGGCTGAAAAAAAGTCCTGATCACAACTAGGTCTTATTTTCAGGGTAGGTCTTATACTTTAGCACTTCCTAAAAATAGTACTAAGTCCAGGGGCGGACTGACAACTCATGGGGCCCCCGGGCAATAGGGGATCATGAGGCCCCTGTGTCCTCGCCCACACTCAAATCACACCCAAAAAAGCCTATGAAATGTACCAGGGACATCTCATGGGGCCCCCTAGACCCCGGGCCCTCGGGCAGTGCCCAAGTTCCCCAATGGTCAGTCCGCCCGTCTTATTTTCAGGGAAACAGGGTATTAAGGAATTTTCTTCTATAGCTAAAGTCTGCTAAACTCTACTTTTAACCCTGTTTTACATATTTTTCTTCGAAATCCTTACAAAATATTTTCCTTAAGTTTTTGGTAATTTGTCAACTTCCACATTTTTTTTCATATTGAGTGCAGGGGCGGACTGACCATTTGGAAACTCGGGCACTGCCCGAGGGCCCGGGGTCAGTAGGGGGCCCCATGAGATGCCCCTGGTACCTTTTTAATAGGCTTTTTTGAGTTTGGGCAAGGACACAGGGACCCCATGATCCCCTATTGCCCGGGGGCCCCATGAGTTGTCAGTCCGCCCCGATGGAGTGTCAAAACCCATGCCTTCTTTGCTTTGTTAAAACGTTCAAAAAGAATACTATGTTCCACAATACGAGGTTTCATTAAATGTCACATGCCCACTGTCAATTATGAGACAAATACTGCCACACAAGTATAAAAAGAAGACAGATTACAAAAATTGTTCAAAGTCTGTCTTCAAACAAATGAAGCTTTTTGTTATAGCAGAGTTCTGGACACCTCAAAAACATACCTATTGTAGCCAATCAATTACTTTACAGGCTTCTGACAAGGTTTAAGAACAAATCTTCCATCATCTAACGTCAATCAAAAATTATCCATCCAAGCTCCCATACAGCCCTGCTTTTAATTTGCAATGCTTAATAGAAGAGATATTCTGATAGAGCCAAGTCCTTTCCTAGTGATTTGACTGGGAAAAGTAGAGCTACAAAGGTGGGTCTTTTGATAGTGTTAGAGACAGTGATAAAGAAGGTGAAGGGGATACATCTGTCACCTCTCTAAGTTTCCTGAACTGTGGGACTTATGTGTCACAAAGCTAGCGGAGCAGGGCTTAGACCAATCCACGGATGCTCTGCTATCAGTGCAGACATACTTTTAAGGGAGCAAACAAAGAGTGGAAGAGAACACTTAATGCACATACTGTAATACGTACTGCTACAGCTGATGGAGCACAAAAAAATGATTGTTATTCTATGTGGTATTCTTTAAAAGGCAAAAAAGGACATGTGGGAATACAAGGCAGATATGAAAAAACATTATACACACACACATAGTGTGTTTATGTTTTTATTAAAACTTACTCAAAGGCAAACTTTCAATTAAATAATATACTACAGTGGATATAAAAAAAGTCTACACACCCGTTAAAATTTCAGGTTTCTGTGATCATTTCAGAACTTTTTCTACCTTTAATGTGAACTATCAACTGTACAACAAACAAACTGAAATCTTTTTAGGGGGGGGAGTAAACATAAAAAACTAAAATAATGTAATGTGGTTGCAAAAGTGTACACACCCTCTTATAACTGGGGATGTAGCTATTTTCAGGATTAAGCAATCGCATTCAAAATTATGTTAATTAGGAGTCAGTACATACCTGCCATCATTTAAAATGCCTCTGATTAATCCCAAATAAAGTTCAGCTGTTCTAGTAGGTCTTTCCTGACATTTTCTTAGTCGCATCCTACAGCAAAAGCCATGATCCGCAGAAAGCTTCCAAAACATCAGAAGGATCTCATTGTTCAAAGGTATCAGTCAGGAGAAGGGTACAAAAGAATTTCCAAGGCATTAGATATACCATGGAACACAGTGAAGACAGTCATCATCAAGTGGAGAAAATATGGCACAACAGTGACATTACCAAGAACTGGACATTCCTCCAAAATTGATGAAAAGATGAGAAGAAAACTGGTCTGGAAGGCTGCCAAGAGGCCCTCAACAACATTAAAGAAGCTGCAGGAATGTCTGGTAAGTACTGGCAGTGTGGTATATGTGACAACAATCTCCCATATTCTTCATATGTCTGGGCTATGGGGTAGAGTGGCAAGACGGAAGCCTTTTCTTACGAAGAAAAACATCCAAGCCTGGCTACGTTTTGCAAAAACACATCTGAAGGCTCCCAAACGCATGTGGGAAAATGTGTTATGGTCTGATGAAACCAAGGTTGAACTTTTTGGCCATAATTCCAAAAGATATGTTTGGCGCAAAAACAACACTGCACATTACCATTCAATATTGGCACAAGACCTTCAGGCTTCTGCTATAAAGCTGAACATGAAAGAGGAACTTGCATCTTTCAGCATGACAATGACCCAAAGCATACATCCAAATCAACAAAGGAATGGCTTCACCAAAAGAAGATTAAAGTTTTGGAATTACCCAACCAGAGCCCAGACCTGAATCCGATTGAAAATATGTGGGGTGATCTGAAGAGGGTTGTGCACAGGAAAGGCCCTCGCAATCTGACAGATGTGTTTGTGCAAGGAAGAGTGGGCAAATATTGCCAAATTAAGATGTGCCATGCTGATAGACTCATACCCAAAAAGACTGAGTACTGTAATAAAATCAAAAGCTGCTCCAACAAAAGTATTAGTTTAAGGGTGTGCACAATTATGCAACCATATTATTTTAGTTTTTATTTTTACTTCACTCCATCTAAAAGGTTTCAGTTTGTTGTTCAACTGAGTTGTACAGTTTATACTTTACATCAAAGATGGAAAAAGTTCTGAAATGATTTATCTTTGTCTAATTTTTTTAACATCACAGAAATCTGACATTTTAACAGGAGTGCGTAGACTTTTTATATCCACTGTATATATTATAGGCACTATTATTCTGTCCCAAATTCAGCTCCAACAAGAAGATTTAGAAAAACAGGGAACGCAGGCAAAATGTCCATATTCGAGGTATATCTGAATCCATTGCCGATTCCCAACTTCGCCGACACCTCCTGTCCTTCACCGCAACCGCCCCCTTGGTCCCAGAAGCGGAGTGGCGCATAGACAGGGCCCACCGTTCTTTGGGTCCGAGACCGGCTGATGGCACCAGACCACGTGATGTCATCATCCGCTTCCATTTTTTTGAGAGCAAGGAAGCCTTGTTGGCCTCTGTACGCAACGTGCCCTCCCTGGAATTTAAAGGAAACCGGCTTCAGCTCTTTTGTGATCTCTCTCCGATTACCCTGGCTAAACGGCGAGCGCTGAAGCCACTCACCACGCATCTTCAACACCATCGTATCCCTTACCGCTGGGGATTTCCCTTCAAGCTGGTCGTCTCCAAAGATAACTCTCAAGTTATTCTACGTGATCTTTTTGAGGCGGACTCTTCCTGAAGCAACTGGGACTACCTCCATTGCCGGAAGACAATTCCTCATCACCATCTACTCCGTCTCGTCCTTCCGCTACCCCCAGCAAGATCTGGACTCCAGTTCGTAGGGGCCGGAGGCGTCCTTCACATACTCTACAAATGCCCTCGTCCCCTTCATTCCAGCGATAATCCTGCTTGATGTTTCTTTGAGGTGTTCTTCTGTGGGCAGTTTGAGGTTGTATCCCTACCTCTTTCCCTCTCCCCCTCTCCTCTCCACCCCCCCTCCTTTTCTTCCCTCCCTCCCTTCCTCCCCCCTTCCCTTTCCCCCCCCCTCTCCCTTCCTCCCTGGGTGCCTTCTTAAGCTGTATCTTTTTGGCTGGGTTTGCCGATTGACATATTCCGGTTGTCAGTTGCCCCCGATCCCGTCCAGACATTTGCCTGGACGACTTGGGTGCCGTTGTTTTTCCCAAGTTCATATCCATACGGATATCTCTGTTCCTTATTGTTATTTTTTTTTGGTTTATCTATTAATGTTATCAGTTTTCTGCTTTATCTCATCGATGGTATTACATTTATTTTCTCTGCTGGTACATTTGCTACACTCATTGTCATTTTGTGATTGCTTTACGACTTTTATCCTATAATGTTAAAGGCCTTAATTCTGTCCAGAAATGGTGGATGGCTTTGAAGGAATTCCGATCCTCAGGAGCAGATATTATTTTTGTCCAGGAGACCCATTTTAAATCGACAGGCTCTTTTCATTTTGCCACAAGGTATTTTTTTCCAATCCTATTCAGCCTTCGACCCATCTGGCAAGGCTGGGGTGGCAATCCTGATTCGGACACACTGCTCTCTTCGGGTTGTTTCCTCCAAGGCCGATCAACATGGTCGCTTCATTATCTTAGATTGTATGCTCGGTGACACCCTCCTTATTTT